TTGAAAAGGGTAGAACAGGATCAGCCATTTTTATGACGGGACAATATTTTGTCCACATATAAATGTTTCTTTAAGTTTTATTACATGTAATTCATCATGTATAATATAAATTATGACACAAATTGCATATTTTTAGTCTAATTGGCATACACACGTAATCAACTTAGGAGTTATGGGGATCTAGATTTATTTTCAAGGGGGGGGGGGCTATTTCAGTTTCCCAAGTAAATAGGTGACAGTGGCGGATCCAGAAATTTTGTAAAGGGGGGCCCGACAAGTTTGAGGTCAGGGTGGGGGCGGCCCACAGCCACACCAAATAAATATTGATATGTAAAGTATTGTGAATTTTTGGACTAAAAAGGGGGAGGCGGGCTCCCTGGGCCCTTCCCCCTCTAAATCCGCCACTGGGTGACATTTAGGGCGGTTGGTCGTGGGTCGGTTGAATGCGGCTTCCCCATTTTGTGGGGTGACCAAAACCTGTGAATTCCATAGGTTTCGGCCATATGGGTTTGCGCCGAGCCATTCAACTGATGCTATAATTTATTGTGATGCTGCTGCTTTAAACAAACTCATTTACTGTGAAAATGTGTGCTGCTTTCAACAAATTCATGAATTGGTCTGCTTTGCATGATTGATTGAAACAAACTCAATTGCTGTGCAAAATGTGTACTGCTTTCACCAAATGTCATGGACAGTGCTTTGCTTGCTAAAATATCTTAAGTAACGTTCGCGTTTTGATAACCCGTAACGATAACTACATACATATAAACTTGTAAAGTTTATTTAAAATAAATGTACATAAAATTTAATTGTAAGGTTAATTACCGTTTGCGGTAAACCCGGAACGGCCATTGTTTTGCTTATTATAGTACATGTACATGTAATATTTTGCTTGATTGTTGTTGCTGCTTGTTGAAATTGTTTGGGGTCGCCCTGCTTGGCACCCCCTTCGTTGCTTTAAGCCACGACCAACAATCGCCAATATATTAAAATAAACGTGTACAAAATCATGTTTGTTTTATTTTCCTCTATATAAATTATAGCATCTATTAATTAAAGAATAGATGCCTTTATTTTATGAGGAAATTTGTTGCTGCTATTTGAGTTGGGTTAGGTATAAATTAGATCGGGTTCGGGATATCTCAAATTCCCCCTCTTTGCCCTGGATCCTAAGAACGAAAGGTATACGATTTTTGTAGCAGACAGAATTTTCAAAAAATATGCTTTCAATCACGATTGCTTCTTAAATCCCAACCCATCCCATCCCATATTTTAGAATTAATGGTGAATATACAGTTTGATATTAAATAATTAATTTAAGAAGTCTTTGTCTGCTGTTGGGGTTTTCTCTATCTTTTCAGGATTGACTGGAACATGGACTACACTTGGAAGATCCTCGTCGTGGCATTCCATGGGCCTGACCTTGTATGCTGTAATTTTGAGTGCATGTTTATCCTCGCTCGTAGAGTCCTTGATGACATTCTATTGAATTACAATTTGTTTTTACCCTTGTCGTCTCAAGATTCAGTTTGCGCCGCGCCATTCAACTGATGCTATAATTTATTGTGATGCTGCTGCTTAAAACAAACTCATTTACTGTGAAAATGTGTGCTGCTTTCAACAAATTCATGAATTGGTCTGCTTTGATTGATTGAAACAAACTCAATTGCTGTGCAAAATGTGTACTGCTTTCACCAAATGTCATGGACAGTGCTTTGCTTGCTAAAATATCTTAAGTAACGTTCGCGTTTTGATAACCCGTAACGATAACTACATACATATAAACCTGTAAAGTTTATTTAAAATAAATGTACATAAAATTTAATTGTAAGGTTAATTACCGTTTGCGGTAAACCCGGAACGGACATTGTTTTGCTTATTATAGTACATGTACATGCAATATTTTGCTTGATTGTTGTTGCTGCTTGTTGAAATTGTTTGGGGTCGCCCTGCTTGGCACCCCCTTTGTTGCTTTAAGCCACGACCAACAATCGCCAATATATTAAAATAAATGTGTACAAAATCATGCTTGTTTTATTTTCCTCTATATAAATAATAACGGGTGAATTTAATACATGTTAAATGGTCACCGTTACTAGGTATAGGGTGAAGTATACAAATTAAATGGTGCATTCGATATAATAACAGGTCGGTTTTTAAAATATGTTAAATGGTCGCCGCTACTAGATATAGGGTGAAGTATACAAATCAAATTAGATCGTGCATACGATATAATAACGGGTCAGTTTAATATGTTAAATGGTCGCTGTTACTAGTTATAGGGTGTATATAGTCTCTAAATTAAAATATCAGACAGAACAAAATAAAGATGAATTCTAAGTTACATCAATTCATACTGCTTTTTAAAATCAAAATACAGAAAAAATAAAAGATTATAAATGTAAACAATTCTAAAATAAACTACATGTGTTTGTGAAAGAATGTAACTTTATTAGATTACTAAATTGGTCTTATCATTCCTACTAAATTAACAACGTTACAATTGCCAAGTGTCATGTTTTCAACTGTTACAGAAGATATAATTATACTTGTTCACTGCAGCTTTATATACAAAACTTGTCAGTTTTCAGAAATACTTATTTGAGCATATTAGGTCCTGGTAAGAACAAAATTTAATGAATAAAATATTAATCTTAATTGGTCATGTATTAATTTCCTTGCAATTTTACAAACCGTTTTAAGAAACTTGTTACATGTAAGTATAGACAAAAGCAACCTTCAAGTAATACCTATGATGTATACATTTATTTTACTGAAAACAAATTCAAAGATGGACAAGCAGAGGATGAACTGCAATCATCGCATACACATCTTTTATAAATATATGGAAAACAGGAAACTTGTATATACAAGATAGGATGTTGTTGAACATTAAGTTTTCTTCTATAATCTATAGACATATAAAAATATGCATTGGGTATAACAAGTCAGAAGTTCTCCAAATCTCCATTGATTTTGCCATGTCTGGTTCAACATCTTAGTTTGATCCATCCAACTTTCTTTAATATTCTTCAGCTGATATGGGATGACCTCTACTTTGATTGATGACATAAATCTTTTAAGAAAACACTGGAGTACTTTTATTTGGTTCTTATCTATTCCAATTAATGACCCATGATCTGAAATCACATGTGTTCATTTTTACAATATCATTTAAGGAATTGCATTTTTTTGAATAGCATAAGGAATTGCACTGAGTTTCATTCACTCAATGAAATGAATACATTTCCAACATAATGAATGAAGAATCAAGAAAATTAATGTTCTTGTCATGCACAATCTGTATCTCTTTTTTATTAATAAGAAAATGAGAAATTAATTGAAATAAACCTCATTTAAAAAGGTAACTAGAACAATATCTTATCTGAGGCCTTAACAGCAAGGATTTTATTTTTCATAATTTCTTAAATGAATGCATTTTTTATTTTTTGGCAATGTTAGGATATTAGTTACATCCTGACATCCTTGAACCGTTTATTAAACGTTTTTAGTCAGTAGATCATTCATAACTTTCAGTAAAATGAATAGTTAAATAATTACCCGATGAAAATACTATCAACAATCAAACTGTCAACATCATCATTGGACATGGTCAAATGCACCGTGACTTTTCTTCCCGGTTCTGACTGCATATAGCATAATACTTTACAGAATACTCTCAGGTCTTTTTCTTTTTTCTTTCCCATTCTCACTTAAAATGTAAGTGTAGTGGTGAAGCGAGAAACACACATCAGCACAATGCGACAATGACTTTCTTCTGATCGGAATTGCCGTGCAACTTGCCACGTTTCGTATCGAACATAAACAAGTCCTCCTTTATTGGTTCATCCAAATGCATCACGCTAATCTCAAAGGCTTCCAAGATTCCTATGCTTTGATTTGTTATAAGACTTTCTCCTGAAAATGTCCTTCGTTTTTAGTCCTAACATTAAGTGACAACAAACATCAAGTATGACAGAGGAAATTCGTTACGGAGATGCTTAGCATCGCTGGTTTAAATTTGTCTGTTTCAAACGCTTTGGTGATTTGCAAGAGTTATCTCCCTGTAAACGCAAACCTTACCTTAATACATCATAGTAAATACCTGTTTATCTGTTTTGGATATTATATTCTTCCGTTTGATATGACATGATAGTCGATACTTCAGTCAAAGTTGCAATCGGAGGACGTATTGGTTTAAAGATTACAGAGTTAGCATTTTATCAATTTTGAAGATGACATGCCAGTATTTATTGCAAGCTTACGAAGTTTTTCAGCCAGTTAGGTGGTCGAAGAGAGCTTTTTAAAGAAAAGAATAAACATGACTATAGTTTCAAGTAGAGCTTCTTTTTAATTTGAATTAGGTAATTTCGTTAGTCAGTATCACCTTTATAATATCTGAAAACGGTATTCTTATTCGTTTTGAAGAGGTTTAAAGAGTAAACAAAACGAACCAGTCATCCATGTTTTAAAAATAAAAAGGTAAAGAAATGTTATGTGAAATTTATTTCACGTGGAAGAAATCTCTTGTGTAAATCGGACACAATTTCATTATATCAAAGATGTTTTATGTGACCCTGTGACTCGTGACATACTTTTATGGAAAGATATTATCCGGAAAAATTATCAACATCAGCTAGCAATCATTATATGGAAATATTGCGTCGATTCTATAGAGCATTCATATTATTTATTTGTGTTTGTATTCTTCGTTATTAAACAATAACTTCTTTTTAAAGCAAAACAGATTGTTTTGTTTTTTTTACGAAATATACAAGGTGGTTTTTGAAAAAAAGCTTTCTTTCCCTCATACTGAATCAATTTATAGAATGTGAAAAATACCAGAAAAAACAGAACAGACAAAGGCATGACATATATAGAGCTTAAAATCGATGACGTTGAGTTTTCAATGGCAAAACCACAGTCACTCGAGTGAAAATTAGATTGATTCTATTTATAGAGACCTTGTCATCAAAACAACACTGAGCGTTGCACGTAACCTGAGTAACCGTTGAATAAGAAATCTATTGTCTATAAAATCCTCGATTATATAAACATCAGATTATTTGGGAAAAATCCGCAAAACACAAAAGACTGCAAGGTACGTTTTCACAAGATTTACAAAGAAAATGATACCAAGAAAGCATAATATCGCACTTTCTGGTTTATTTTAAAAACAGGCGTCTTCTGTTTTAAAAAAAATGCTTAGTTTATATGCCTACTTTAATTGTTAACAAAGTTGCCTTTAGGAAGCATATCCAAATACTTTTTTTTCTTGATAAGAAGTTTTGTAATCGTTTTAATTAGACTGTTTACACTTCAAAAAGTGTATACGTATTTTCTTGTTATTTGAATTATCTCGGACAGACAACCACCATTTATACCCCAAAAACATTAACAGTACACAGGTAACAGTATACACGCCCATCACAAAAGGAAATCTTTAATCTAACACATTCATAAGATGCCTGGGCGGATCAATTTAGTGTTCAAATTCATTTCATGAGGACATAGACATTTTAGAAAATTCATTGGTATGAGATTAACCCTTTTTACTCACATTGAGACGCCACTACTTGTCGGTTGAGAGATGTAAATGTGGTAGATCTTTATATAAACATGTGTGGAATCAAAACTTCGATATATATTGAATATAGTAAATGCTTTTAAGAATTTTCCATTATTAGTATTCCACTAAAAGATATGATTCTCCCCTGTAAACCTTATCTTTAGTAATATGATTTTCCAAGAGTACCAATGACTTTTATGTCATATTCATAGTCTGAATTAATCATGTTATAAAGATTTAATGTTAAACGAGTTGTGAAAATATAATTTTAAAGGATACACCTGAAACAAAGAGATCTTGTGTTAATCATTCTGTCAATTGCATATCTGCTGAATTGGGATCAGGTCGATTTTTAAATTAAGAGAAAATACAAAAATTCAAAAATTGTATATCTTTACTTATTTTTTTAATTTTGATGTCAACGTGATTATTGCGAGCTTACTGAGTTCTTTAAAAAAATAGGTCGTGCAAGAGAGAAAATTTAATAGAATTTATATAGTTTTAATTTTTGTTGAGCCTCGATAGTTTTTTTTAATTCTTATCAGTCAATTTCTTGCATCAATATTACGTAGATAATATAAAAAAATGTATTCTGGGTTGTATTAACAAGGCTTGAAGTTTGATTGATTGATTAATATTGTTTGACGTCCCACTCGAGAATTTTATACTCATATGGAGACGTCACCGCATGCCGGTAAAGGGATTCAAATGTTGACCTTTTCTCGGCACTCAGGGCCATTGAGCAATGATGAATCTTTATCATACCAACGCCTGCCGCTGACACGGGGCCTCGGTTTTTAACGACGTTCGATCCTGATACTTAACATGCATTCTCTGTAAGCACAAAAAAAAATTACTATAGGGCTTGGAAACGACATATCTCCGATTTTTATGAAATTTGCACCACAGGTGCACCTCGGTGCAAAACCAGCAAATATGGTGTTAGAAGTTTCCCACGTGCACCCAGTTGCCATGGAGACGGATCCATTGCATTTGGCCATTTTCGGCCATTTTTGACCAAACAAAAACATGAAAATTGAGGAAATATGAATGCATTTTTATCTTTATGTTGTGAACTCAAATATAAATCTTTATATCATAAGAAAACATCAACTGTTAAAGAATACATGGCATATAACCAGTTATTCCACAATTGACCCCACTCTTAGAAAACGGTTCTGCAAAATAGCATAGTTTCTCAACATGTGGAAAATGGAAAATTTGGCATTTTTTGAAAAAAATTAAGGTTAAATAAAAAAAATTGACTACGGAAATTTTTGAAATCATATGCGTGTCGTCAAACGTCAGTATTAGTAGTGTCCCCTCATGAAAAAATTGGAGTGGGATCTCGATGCTATTTTTAGTAACATGTATCTAAAAATAGACATATTTCAGAAAAATCCAAAAAATGAAATTTGGGCAGAGTTTAAGATGCCATTGCTAGGTAATTATGAAATATACTGTAAAAGTCAATACGCTAATGTCAGAGACTGGACACCAATAACTACCATGCATATTATTTTCAGGGATTTTCGTTTTCTATTTATAGCTTCAAATGCCTAAATATAGATATGTCTCATAAAATGATGAAAAATGTCAATTTTCCATCATTTTGAAGCTTCACAGAATCATGAATAATAGAAATATGGATCTCTCCAATATTTCATCAATAAGAACAAGGAATAGTATGATATCTCACAAATTATTGAGGACAGGCTCTCATCTCTATAAATAGTACAAATGATTAAAAATAGACACATATGAAATTAACTGTTTAATGTTTATCTTCCACCAATTCTCAAATTAGAGATGGGAAATTTACCGACTTACTGTCATTAAATGTAACTGATATTATGTGACTGACAAGAACAAAAGAGCATTCAATGGAATGCAGCATGATAAGCAGAGGTTTTCATTTCCATTTATAGTAACACATGTTTAAAAAGAGATGTAATGCGAAATATCAGAAAAATGTCGTTTTTGTACTTTTTTTTCACATTTGGATGAACAATTGCACACTATATGCTTTAACTGCTATTGGAATATGGTGACCAACAAGTAAAAGAAAGCATATACGAATTACAGAATGAGAAGCAGAGGTTTCCATTTCTATTTATAGTACAATAATGTAACATATGTTTGAAAATAGACGTGATGCAAAATATCGGAAAATGTCATTTTTTGTACTGTTTTCTTACATTTTGGATGAATAATTGCTGACTATCTGTTTTTAATTGCTATTGGCATATAGTGACCAACAAGTAAAAGAAAGCCTTATATCAAAAACAGAATGAGAAGCAGAGGTTTCCATTTCTATTTATTGCAACATGTGTTTAAAAAAAAGACATACTGCAAACTATTGGAAAAATGTCATTTTTGTACTTTTTTCTAAAATTGTGGATGCATAATTGCTGACTATCTGTTTTTAGCTGCTATTGGCACATGGTGACCAACAAGTATAAGAAAGCCTTATATCAAATACAGAATGAGAAGCAGAGGTTTCCATTTCTATTTATAGTAACATGAGTTTAAAAATAGACATACTGTAAAACATTGGGAAAATGTAGTTTTCCTCTAATTTTTTTTCACATTTTGGATGAGCAATTGCAGACAATATGTTTTTTTTTACTGCTACTGGTATATAGTGACCCACAAGTAAAAGAAAGCATATATGAAATACAGAATGAAAAGCATAAGTTTCCATTTCTATTTATAATAACACATGTTTGAAAATAGACATGCTGCAAATTCTAGAGAAAATATAGACTTTTGCATTTTTCTTAACATCAGGAATGGATAATGTGCAGATAAACGGCTGATATTTGTTATTGACAGAAGGTGACTAACGAGCATGAAAAAGCTTTAGCAAAAATGTATAAGAATAATGTGTAAAGGTATTTTTCCATTTTTACCTATACTAACGTATAGTTATAAATGGACATTCAGCAATTAATCAAGAAAATATAGAATCATGCTATTTTCTCAAATTAGGGATAGGAAATTGCAGTGAAACTTTCATTAGCTGTAACTGACATAATGTAACCGACATGTACAAGAGAGCAGTAACCGAAATGCATAATAAGGTGGGTTTCCATTTCTATTTATAGTAACACATGTTTTAAAATAAAGGCTCAAGTGAGCTTTTATGATCCTTTGTGCCTTGTCAGTCGTTGTCATTCTCATTGTAAACTTTTTAAATTTTCATTTTCTTATCAAGAACCACTGGGTTAATTTCAATTTAACTTGCCACAAAGTATCCTTGAATGAAGGAATAATACCTTTTCTCTGTTCGATTTTTCGCTAAGCTAATAAATTATATTTCTGACCAATATTAGTTTGTTTAAACGCCTATTAATAGCAAAGCCATTTCTGTGACTAAAGTTACTTTCCATCCTCTCATAAAGACAAGTTAATTTTTAGTAGTAGTAGTATATTAATACGTAACAAGAAATCTTTTTCAAACACTGATACCAATGTATGACAGCATATTGATATGAAAATCAAGTCTTTAAAAAGGAGATAAAACTCTAGAGACATAACAAAATAACGTGTCAGAAGCAAATTAAAAGTGAAGAGAATGGTCCAAACATGAAATCCTATTTCATGGAAGGGGAATCGAACTTCTTTCAGTACCATTTTTTTTTCTTTCAAACATTACCACTTCTTATTCGACTACACTGCAACATGCCTGCTTAACAGGGGGGGGGGGGGGGGGGGGGGGCTAAATTTACTCCCAAATGTTTATTACCTATATGATGTCTATCTTTGAACCCCCCCCCCCCCCTCCCGGTTCCAACAACTACATGTATGGATATACATGTACGTAAAATATTTTTGTAAAAACCAAAACAACAAATATTTTTAAATGCTTTAGTTAAAGTCTAGAGAAATATGCATGTATAGAGAGAGAAAAAAAATCGAAAGTAAGCCAACTCAAGACATTTGGGCAAAATTCAATTTTATTATTACCCCCCTCCAAAACGAATTTTAGGGGTATGTTGGAATCAGCTTGTCCGTCTGTCCATCTGTCCATCTGTCTGTGCAAAAGAGTCCGGTCCATATCTTCCTTAATTAGGAACATTAGAATCTACTTCTCCACACAAAGATTGCTCATGACCTTAGGATGTGTCATGATCTTGACCCAAGGTCATTTGGGGAAGTTCAAGGTCACTGAAAAAAAAATTAATTTGTGTCCGGTCCACATCTTTATTACGGATAAACTTGGCATGTTCTTATTTCACAAAAAGATTTCTCATGACCTAAGATTGTTTCATAACCTTGACCCAAGGTCATTAAGGGAAGTTCAAGGTCACTGACAAAAGTTTCATAATTCGTGTCCAGTCCATATCTTTATGGATAAACTTTGTAGGTTCTCATTTCACACGGAGGTCATTGCAATTAGAGTGTGTCATGACCTTGGGCCAAGGACATCTGTGGAAGCTCAAGGTCACTGGAAGAAATATTTCATAATTTGTGTCCGGTCCATATCTTTTTTATGGATAAACTTGAAATGTTCTTATTTCACACAAATA